GGACTTTGTTTTTATGAGCTTTGCTGGACTGCTACTCTAGACTACTTTGCTCTTGCTTATCTTCCTACATAATTGGATTTACCTATTTCTTTAAAGCATTTTTTTACCTTACTACTTTTTAATTATCTTCAATAAAAGAATTGTTTTCCATTCAATGGTGTTGTGTTTACAATCAGAGGGCTTTTCCTGACCTGGAGTACAACATTACTCTTAAATTGGTATGCATTAAAAGTCAGCAAACAATATCATACACCCATATCCACATTTTGTTCCATGAAACAAACATGGATATGTAGTTTTACCATCTCTTTAATATGTCTGGAGAATGTATCAGCTTTTAAGTATTTTGCTTAGGTAGCATGACTAAGCTGAGACATTTACCTGACAAAGTAATGGGAATTCTCTTCTATCCTTGTAGAGAATGAAACTTTGAACATGTAGTGTGATGTATTTCCACTTTCTGGTGTTGCAGGCAGAACAGGTTCCTGTATGGTTCTAAGCAAGGGGATAATTAATAGGCTCTTCTTCCTTTTGTTGTGGTTAACTGCTGTCTTGTTAACTTGATTAACCCATGAATGAGAGACCGCCAAGTGACCTGCTGTCTACCTTCTGATCGATGGCTGAGCCAGGGTCTTCATTGCCTACTTTAATAGAAGATGCCAACTACAAAAGAAGAACAAGAGTTCTCTTCCACAAGATCTGAGAAATAAAAGAGAAATTTAAACCAAGTGTGGGAATGCTCTACGACTGACAGCAAAGCACTATGCATGACCAAATAGAAATAAACTAATTGAAGAAAATACTGAAGAGCTATATAAATGAGATTAATTCAATGTAAAGCCCTTCAAAGATGAACCTACCATTTTATAAAGGAAAATGGAAGCTGCATTCTGAGCATTTGGGGAAAGAATAAATCAGATGGCACACAAATAGAGTTGCTTCAAACTACAGAGACAGAACCAACTTTAGTTTTAATGAAAATCTGTCAATAAATATGAAAAGCAACACAATTTATTATTTTATTTATTTATTTACAGCTTTTATATTCCGCCCTTCTCACCCCGCAGCGGACTCAGGGCGGATTACAGTGTACACATATATGGCAAACATTCAATGCCAGTTTTTGACATACAAACATATACAGACATAGACAGAGGCTATCTAACTTTTTCTGGCCGCCAGGGGAGCTGTCGCTTTCATCGTCCATCTGCGACGCTGATGAAGCACTTCCGCATTCCCCGCATACTTCCCCACTGGAATGCTTTGCTGGAGTCTTTATGGCCTCATAAATCAGTTAATTTAGCCTCCCCACACTTTTTAAGGTAGTACCTTATTTTCCTACTTGACAGATAGCCCATAGCTTGGTGTCCATAATGTAAATGTCTTATCTCCAGACAACAACTGCATAGGAGTTAAGGGTTTCCCCTGGTGTACCATGCTTATACTCTGCATATTTTTTTTAAAAAAAGCTTTTGAAGGTATAAGTGGAGGTTTTTAAAAAGTCTGATTGTCCCATGGGGGTGTTGGTTTCTGCTTGGAAGGAAATAGGTAGCCTCCCATTCACTTGGGCCCCTTCTATACTGCCATATAATCCAGATTACCAAAGCAGAAAATCCAAATTATCTGTTTTGAAATGGATTATATGAGAGTACACTGCCATATAATCCAGTTCAAATCATATAAACTGGATTTTATATGATGGTGTAGAAGGGACTTGCCGCTCTTTGCCATCCCATGGTATTGCAGTTAGGTTTTTAACTGCAATAAGGTCAGTGTTCTCCAGTTTCCATGGGAGCAGGCCACTTTCCCCCTCACTTCCTTGGGAGGAAAGGCAGTCAAGCTGATAAAATTACTTTGTGATATTTAGTCATCTGACAAGCCTGCCCTTTCTTCTTTTATTTTTAAAATGTTCGAGATATCTTTGCCTATTGTGAGAGAAAGGAAATTAACATTTGAAATGTTGTTAATGAGTTTCAATTCATTTCTCAATGTTGGTTGAGTATGCTTATTAAAAGCATGGTGATGACTTCTCCAATGCCCTTGTTTGTCTCTTTTCAAAGCAAATACCTTGTCAGAAACTGGTGGAACAGTCGTTTGTACTATTCATACACAGCACAGTGATCACATTGGATATTCTGTCAAGGAGAGAAGCTTCTGTCAGGAAGAGAAGCAGACCAATTGCTATGGTTTGTTGTATCATATTAGGAACTGAACGTCTATATGACACTGTAGCTCCACTAAAAATGTGGTGATCTAAAGATTGCAAACAATAGGAAGTATTTCCGCAGTGATGTAATAGTGTGCTAACTTATAACATACTAGCTGTACCTGGCCACGCGTTGCTGTGGCCCATTGTGGAGAATGGGAAAGAAAGAAAAGAGGAAAAGTTGGTTTCTATGCTATCAATACACAACTGAAGTGACAAAGTGTCAACCTAATATAGGCCCATTTCAGTCTCCTTGAGGCCAAAGGGTTATATGGATGTGTGGAAAGGCCCTGGGTTACCTGAGTCCACACTGCCATATAACCCAGTTCAAAGATATTATATAGGTATTATTGTTGTTGTTGTTACAGATGTATAGATATTATTATAGGCATTTAGATATTATAGACACAAATATTATTAAAACATGTAGGTATTATTATTATAGGTGTTATTTATTTATTTCGTATCAAAAGCATTGTATAATTAGTATAAAACTGATTAAAAATAGAAGGAGCACAGGTCTAAATATCTTTCAAGCAAAAACCAGCAACAGATGTATGGATATTATTGCAGACCTATAGATATTATTATAGGCATATAGATATTATACGTGTATATAGATATTATTATTATAGATATAGATATTATAGGCATATAGGTATTATTATTATAGATGTATAGATATTATTGACAGACAGATATTATAATTATAGACATATGGATATGGATATTACTATAGACCTATAGATATTATAGACATGTAGATATTACTGTTACAGACATATAGATATCACACACAAACATATATATTTTGTAGACTTATAGATATTGTTATGAAAGATATATAGATATTATTATTGTAGATATACTATAGCCCAGGGTTGCTATAAAGTAAAAATGGATGGCCATCTTTCGGGAGTGTTTTGATTGTGCCTTCTTGGACAGCCTTTGCTAACTCACAGAGCGTGCCTTTTTGTCCTTCCTTTGAATACTGGACTTCATTTCCCAGAATTCCTTCCCATAACTCAATATGGATTAGCTTTCTCGGCACACACACACCGAAACCCTCCCGTGTGAGTTCCCAGCAGGTACCTCCATGCTGCAGACAACCAAGACCCAAGAGGGAAAGGAAAGGGTGAAGGATTTTTTGAGTGAAGGACATAAATTGCTTTAGTTGTTGTCTTGTGTTCAAATTTGTTGTCAATTCGTCCAGTGGTTTCTGAGTTCTGTTAATCCCACAAACGAACATTACATTTTTATTTATGTAGATTAGGTCAAGTGGCATGTCTCTGTATGGAAAACAATGGTTTATGTGTCTAGGATGATCATGAATAAAAAAGGACAGAAGTTTTATTGCGAAGAATAACAGATTTCAGTACATATAGCAATGAAATGCAAAGTGGGTTGGTATAGTGATTGGGTGATAGGTTCAGTTGTAACATTGAGGGAGTTATTGGAATGTAGTGTGGTGCTGGACTGGAAACAGAAAGGAGATGTGATTTAAAAAAAAGAGAAGGAGATTCCATCTGAACATGAGGAAGAACTTCCTGACTGTGGGAGCCGTTCAGCAATGGAACTCTCTGCCCCGGAGTGTGGTGGAGGCTCCTTCTTTGGAAGCATTTAAACAGAGGCTGGATGGCCATCTGTCAGGGGTGATTTGAATGCAATATTCCTGCTTATTGGCAGGGGGTTGGACTGGATGGCCCATGAGGTCTCTTCCAACTCTTTGATTCTATGATTCTATGAAAATTGCCAAGAGAGCCCTCATGAGGCTGGGGTGTTAACAAGTGCTACAATTTATGTACTGTGCCAGGAAAATGTTGTCTCTGTTCAACCCTCTGTTGATGGCCTTTATAAGTCTGAACAAAAATCGGCAAAGAAATAGTTGAAAACAAAACAGCAGAACTGGAATGTATCCCAAACACCAGTCCATTGACAGAGGGCAGGACATTGTCATATTAACTATTTGTAAGCACCAGATTCTGTCTTATCTTGGAAGCTAGGTAGACTCCGTATTTGTTAGTATTTGGATGGGAGACCTCCTCAAAATTCTGGGTTTTGTAGGTTATATTTCAGAAGAAGGGAGTCATGTGGTCAGTGTACGTTGACAGATGAATGGAAGGGCCATAGACATCTCTGCAACCTCTCTGAAAATTTTTTTGGCTGAAGTCTAGGATATAAATGCGCCAAATACACAAATAAATATTAAATCGATGAGTATCAATTAGTTGACTTATCGAGGATTTTTCTAGGAATTCAGAAGGCTGAGAGGAGATATGATAGCCATGTATAAATATGTGAGAGGAAGCCACAGGGAGGAGGGAGCAAGCTTGTTTTCTGCTTCCTTGGAGACTAGGACGCGGAACAATGGCTTCAAACTACAAGAGAGGAGATTCCATCTGAACATTAGGAAGAACTTCCTGACTGTGAGAGCCGTTCAGCAGTGGAACTCTCTGCCCCGGAGTGTGGTGGAGGCTCCTTCTTTGGAAGCTTTTAAACAGAGGCTGGATGGCCATTTGTCAGGGGTGATTTGAATGCAATATTCCTGCTTCTTGGCAGGGGGTTGGACTGGATGGCCCATGAGGTCTCTTCCAACTCTTTGATTCTATGATTCTATGATCTAGGGCCATGTGCGCATAATTCTATTCCACAAACTCAGTGAAAGGATAAGCCATATCAATACATCAGTTGAAGTAGTTTTCACATGTAGGTCTGAATTGGTTCATCATTTTTTACAAACATATTTTACACATATGCTTCATATTTTTACAAATGTGTTTTCTTTTTCTTGTAGCAAGCGAGGGCAGAGCAAGAAGAAGAATTTATCAGCAATACTTTGTTTAAGAAGATCCAAGCATTGCAGAAGGAGAAGGAGACACTTGCAGTGAACTATGAAAAGGAGGAAGAATTTCTCACCAATGAACTTTCCAGGAAGCTGATGCAGGTATATATTCCATTCCTGCAAAACCTGACCAGTAAGGAGTGAAAAAACAGTTCGGAGCTGAACTTAGATAGGCCAGTTTGGGGGTATGTTTGGTATTACTACTACCGCTTCAAAAACTTGAAAGCAAATGCTGAGTAAGTATGAAAAATGCTCAGAAGACAAAACAGGTTGGACAAGTTACCATGAATGAGTAGGCCCCCTTCTACACACACTGCCATATTATCCTTATTATCAAAGAAGATAATGCATATTATCTGCTTTGAACTGGATTATATGAATCTATACTGCCAGTTCACAGCAGATAATCTGGATTTTCTATGGCAGTGTGGAGGAGGCCTTGGACTTCAAAACCAGTGATTGCTTCCCCATCTTTCATAGTCTATAAAGATATATATATATATATATATATATATATATATATATATATACACACACACATACATACATACACATACATACATACATACATACATACACATATATATACACACACACACAAAACACAATTTAGCATATTAATTATTATTATCTTTATGTATACCCCACCTTTCTCTCCATGGGGACTCAAGGCAGCTAAATCAATGAGCACACTTACCCAGGGGTAATCCCTGCTGAGTTCAGTTATGCTTTTTTTGTAGGCAAGTATGCATAGGAACAGAATAGTATTTTACATTTGTTCTGAAAACATATGAGGGAGTATTCTCTAGTTCCAACTTGGTTTAAAATAGAAATGTCTTTTCCCCCCTGCAAAATCTCTTTTTTTAATCTTTCTGATGACTTTGGGTGAGTAGTGAATCGAGGAGCTCAGGACTGTTTTGTAGAGATGATGTACTTATGGAATGCCCTCCAAGCTCTGGTACACCTGGTCCTTGCACTAATTTATTTTTATTTATGGCATTTTCTACCCAACTCTTTCGCTGGAGGTACTCCCAGTGACGTTCATGGATGAATAGAAAAATGAGACAGTTCTACCCTTAGGCTTCCAGTCTCAAAGAGACAAAACAAAAGGAAATGGGAATGGGAGAGAACTTTTCCATGTCAGATGAAATCATTTCTGTTCACACAGACATTTTTGCACATTGTGTCTGAGCGTTAGTGACTTGAAGCCTATTCTTTGCTATAATTTTAATTGGTTTCTATCATGTCCTAGGTTTCTCATCTAAAAGGCACTCTATTGTTTTATTAGCTATTTGTGTTTGTAGTATTGTAAACCACATCAAACTATTCAGTATAGGTCAGATACGCTCTTACTAAACAACACACACCTCATTTTTGTTCTGTCTGTCTGTCTGTCTGTCTGTCTGTGTACTGTCTATACAAAGCGGCATTGAATATTTGCTGTGTATGTGTACTGTCATTCACCCTGAGTCCCCTTCGGGGTGAGAAGGGCGGAATATAAATAAAGTATTATTATTATTATTATTATTATTATTATTATTATTATTATATAAACAACCTTGTTTTATTTATTATACTATGTTTTCAAGTCATCACTAAGGACCTTCTGAGCCCTGTCAAAATTTTAATCAGGTATCTATTATTGCCCCCTTTCTTTTAACAACTGAAAATTACAGACTCTGAAATGTATTAAATAATTGAATTACTGTACCTAATAGTTACTAAGGGGAATCTGGGGAGAGCGCAGATGAGCTCCCTTTATCAGCTCCAGCTCCTCACGTGGTGACATGAGAGAAGCCTCCCACAAGGATGATAAAACATTAAAACATCCGGGCATCTCCTGGGCTACGTCCTTGCTCTCGTACCAGAAGCGACTTGCAGTTTCTTATGTTGCTCCTGACACAACCAAAAATAGTTTCTAAGGCATACATTTTCCAGAAGTTCACAATGCAGCAATACCTTTATTCGGTCAACTTCAAATATGTCATGCAAGCTTTTGAAGCTTCCCTGGCTTCTTCATGGTTCAGAATTGGACCAATAAATGTATTACTGGTTTATATATTTTGCTGCATGGCCAACATGGCTATCTCTGAAAGCTTTCCCAAATTTAAGGGTAAAGGGAACATCACTACAAATAGAGTCATATTTTGTAGTCAGAAATATATCTGTGCTTTCCTGATACCCTAAACCAGAGTAATACTTACTCTGTTTTTCATATTGAATCACAGTCCCTGAAGGAGTTTCCTAGAATTTAATGTTAGTTTTAATAATTTAGAGTTAGAATGGAGTTCCTGAGAACAAAAAGAGATGATTTTCCATAGCAACGTGGATAGGGCTCAATTTGGATGTAATAAGCTGCGGTTTATTAAACTGGGAGCTGATCCTGGTTGCATTTTGTAGCTTAGAGTATGTTGCACTCCAGAACAGGAATAACCCTCTGACTTTCAAATACCACACATTGTGTAAGAATACAATCCTTTTTTTTTGAAGATAAGTAAAGACAGCAAGGTAAAAATATGCTTTAAAAATAGATAAGTCCAGTAAGGTAGGAAGATAAGCAGGAACAAAGTATTCCAAGGTAGCGTTTAGCAAAGTTCAAAAGCAAGATCCAGAGTTTTGTAATAAAATCCAAAGAACCAGGAAAACATTAATCCACAGCATGAGTATATAAGCACAAAGAGTCAAACCATGAACAAGAAATTTTAGCACAAGGAAAATTCTGAGAGTGCCTTGGACAGCGAGAAGATCCAACCAGTCCATACTTCAGGAAATAAAGCCGGACTGCTCATTGGAGGGAAGGATAGTAGAGGAAAAGATGAAGTACTTTGGCCACATCATGAGAAGAAAGGAAAGCTTAGAGAAGACAATGATGCTGGGGAAAATGGTAAGAAAAAGGAAGAGGGGCCGACCAAGGGCAAGGTGGATGGATGACATCCTTGAAGTGACTGGCTTGACCTTGAATGAGCTGGGGGTGGTGACGGCTGACAGGGAGCTCTGACGTGGGCTGGTCCATGAGGTCACGAAGAGTCGGAAACGAATCAACGAATGATAACAACAACACAACAAAATTCTCCAAATCAGGCCAATCACAGCGGCAGTGTTACAAGCAGCATAAAAAGCTTATGTGTGTGCGTGTGGAGGGGGGGGTCGGTCAAATGCACACACTCATTCCTGTTTAATAAACTATGTTTTATTATGCTGGAAATCTTTTATCTGTAATGTCCCATAGATTCTCCTTCAGCTGTATCACGAAGTTATTGTTAAACGTGCAGAGTATTTGAATGTTTTTCCATTAGTTGCCCTAATGTTATTTTTTTCTCATTTACTGAAATATTTTTAATAAGGCAATTTAATTCTGGGATTAGTGGGCTACTAGTTTCCGTAAATAAAGAGACCTTATTCTGCAGTATAACAAGCTCTGTAATATTTACATTCAAGTTTGCTTAATATATGGTCTTGTTAGGAGATGGGTCTCTCAGGGCTGCTTTTTGAGTGTGCAGATTTTCAGGGTCCCTGAGTACTGATAACATCATGCCATTGCAAAACACTTAGCAAAGCAGCTGTCTAATAATGGCTGAGCACTTGCATTGTTAAACCTTTGCGTTTTGCATTGGAGGACTTAGTGGATTCAGAGTGACATCTAGATAAAAGCTTCCAGAAGGTTTTTTTCAGCATAATGTAAATACAAAAGCTGACTATGAGTGTGAGAGCTATAGATCTCCCATTAGCATTTGGCAGGGATTTCCCAGATCAGCATGATTTGCATTGTCATTGAAGCACACTGATGTATCTGTTTTTCAGTTTTAGTTCAAAAAGGTATTGATTTGAAATGTGCTTAAACATGACAGCAAAATTTTGAAAGAAGAGCCCACATACATGTATAAGTGAACCATTTCCTCAGACTCTGAGCTCTTCTGAGAACATTTTTTCTTCTTCACAGAAGGATGTCATAACACATTGCGCTAGTGTGAGCTGCAAAATGCCTAGATGGTGCTTTTAGCAAAACTCTGCAGTTCTTTATTGGCCTTGTAAAGCTACTTTGTTCAATTAGATTTTTGTGGCACTGTAATTGGTTCTATAGATAATGCACTGCAGAAGCACAGTGAAGAGGAATTACCTTGTTACGAGAGATCTTGGAAAAGATGGTACTAATTAAAAGAAGAGCTTTTATTTATTATTTATTTATTTATTAATTTAGAGTCCGGGGAGGGACTCAGGTCGGCTAACAACATAAAATTCAATACAATAAGAAAAACATTATAGGTCATCAATATAAATTCATTAAAATACACTTCATACAATTCATACAAATTACAGCAAAAATCAGTTCGTCCAAAAGAATCACAGATTCATCGCCATCCACCAGAAAGGTCAGCAGTTATTGACTCAGCCATCATTCTGTGAATGCAGTATCCCAAAGCCATGTTTTTACTTGCTTTCTAAATGTCAGGAGGGAAGAGGCAGATCTAATCTCCATCGGGAGGGAGTTCCAAAGCCGAGGGGCCACCACCAAAAAGGCCCTGTCCCTTGTCCCCACCAAATGCGATTGCGAAGGCGGTGGGACCGAGAGCAGGACCCCTCCAGAAGATCTTAACAAACTTGATGGTTCATAGGGGAGAATCCGTTCGGACAGGTAATAGGGCCAGAGCCGTTTAGGGATTTATAGGTCAACACCAGCACTTTGAATTGTGCTCGGAAGCTGATTGGCAGCCAGTGGAGCTGGCGCAACAGAGGAGTAGTATGCTCCCTGTACCCCGCTCCCGTTAGTAATCTGGCTGCCACTCGTTGTACTAGTTTTAGCTTCCGGGCAGTCTTCAGAGGCAACCCCACGTAGAGAGCGTTGCAGTAGTCTATACGGGATGTAACCAGAGCATGTACCACTGTGGCCAAGTCTTTTACAGAGACACTAATTGTTATGGAAAGAATAACCCTGCTATGTCTGCGAAACGTGGACAGTCTACAGACGTCACATGCAGCTCCTGGAACAATTCCATCAGCGCTGCCTCCGGAAAATCCTGCAAATCTCTTGGGAAGACAGGCGGACAAACTGGAAGAAGCAAAGACCACCAGCATTGAAGCGATGGTCCTCCGCCATCAACTCTGCTGGACCGGCCACTTTGTCTGGATGCCCGACCACCATCTCCCAAAGCAGTTGCTCTACTCTGAACTCAAGAACGGAAAACGGAATGTTGGTGGACAGGAAAAGAGATTTAAAGATGGACTCAAAGCCAACCTTAAAAACTCTGGTATAGACACTGAGAAGTGGGAAGCCCTGGCCCTTGAGTGCTCCAGCTGGAGGACAGCTGTGACCAGCAGTGCTGCAGAATTTGAAGAGGCACGAATGGAGGGTGAAAGAGAGAAACATGCCAAGAGGAAGGCACGTCAAGCCAACCCCAACCGGGACCGCCTTCCACCTGGAAACCAATGCCCTCACTGCGGGAGAAGATGCAGATCAAGAATAGGGCTCCACAGTCACATACGGACCCATAAGAATACTGATCCTGGAAGATTATCCTACTCAGCCAATGAGGGATTGCCTAAGTAAGTAAGTAAGTAAGTAATGGAAAGAATTTTTTGGAGTGGTATTCCTTCAATTTTTGGACTACGGGAATAGATTATCTAATTTTTCTATACACTATTGCGATCGAATCCTGACATTTAGTTTGAGCTCAGAGTTTGGAAAGTTATGTGCATTTGTCTCATGGTCAAATATTGCCTTTAACAGCTTTTTTATTTCCAAACATTTACATACAAATTTCAAAATCCTTTCTTTTTATAGCTTCAGCATGAGAAAGCTGAACTTGAACAACATTTAGAACAAGAACAGGAATTCCAAGTGAACAAATTGATGAAGAAGATTAAAAAACTGGAAAATGATACCATTTCAAAGCAACTCACCTTGGAGCAGGTAGATATCCTATTGTCTTATTTTGTCCTCTTGTCCCTTAAGTTTTTGATGCTGCTTAAGGAGGTGTGTTGACGTGACATTTCCCTTGCACAGGGAACTTGATCATTTTGAAGCACAGCATCATTGAAGGAAGAAAAGTGTTTTCATTTTGATTGGGGTTAATAAATACTTTACAGTGGGAAACCGAGGATTAGAAAGTGAGTGAGAAAGCCTAGGCAAAGAGAATGGAAGAAATGGTTCTGGGTAGACTGAAAAAGAAAAACATTTCAAGACCAGTTGAGAGAGAGAGAAGGAAAGATAGGGCTAATTTGCAGTTAAAAGGGAAACAGACCTATTATGATTTAATTTTGTGTAATCATCATACGTTGGGAGTGGCTCCCAAGAGAAATTCATTTTAATTGCTCACATGGGTTATGCTTACTGAATATCACTAATGTATGTTGAGCCTCTATGTGTACAAGAAAGCCAGGGAATATAATGGTCACTTTTGTCATGCCATAATTGCCACATAGCTTGTTTAATTTTGCCAGATCAGCTTCAGAAGAAACAGACACTCTGGGCAGTTTTATTGTTGATCGAGAAATCAACAATACGCATGTTCTTAGCATAGAAATGGCTGAGGCATTGCCTTCTCAGTCATATTTCAGCATGACGCATCCTGTTCAGTCAAGTGGCATGTATAAAAGATAGCCTGTGCTTTCATGTTGTTGTTTTTATTGGCGGGTCCCCCGTGGACTGTGGAAATTGTAAGAAATGAACAGCAATCGAAGCTGTAAACATGGAAAAGGAAATGGTTTAGCAGAACCGAAAATGAATGCTGCTATCATTTGAAAAATGCTGCCTGAGCACTGGGAGAACCTATTGTGCAAAGGTCAGGTACATTGTTAGTTAATGCCATGAATGGTGAGAGAGACGTAGATATGATCTCTTTTTTCGATAGAGTTACAAGCTGGGTAGATGTGGGGAATGCCATGGATGTAGCATACCTGGATTTCAGTAAGGCCTTCGACAAGGTCCCCCATGACCTTCTGGCAAACAAACTAGTCAAATGTGGGCTAGGCAAAACTACGGTGAGGTGGATCTGTAATTGGTTAAAGGGACGGACCCAAAGGGTGCTCACCAATTATTATTATTTTATTATTAACTTTATTTATACCCCGCAAAATCTCCCGAAGGACTCGATGCGGCTTACAAAGGCCAAAGCCGTCGACAAACAACAATATACAATACGCAATAAACTCATAAGCAAATAATAAATCATCAAGCGAAACAATAAAACAGTAAAACAATGCTTCCTCTTCATTCTGAAAAGAAGTGATGAGTGGAGTGCCATCAGCAGGGTTCCGTCCTGGGCCCGGTCCTGTTCAACATCTTTATTAATGACTTAGATGAATGGCTAGAAGGCATGATCATCAAGTTTGCAGACGACACCAAATTGGGAGGGATAGCCAATACTCCAGAGGACAGGAGCAGGATTCAAAACGATCTTGACAGATTAGAGAGATGGGTCAAAACTAACAAAATGAAGTTCAACGGGAACAAATGCAAGATACTCCACTTAGGCAGGAAAAACAAAATGCCAAGATACAGAATGGGGGACAATGCCTGGCTCGAGAGCAGTATGTGTGAAAAAGATCTTGGGGTCCTTGTGGACAACAAGTTAAACATGAGCCAACAATGTGATGTGGCGGCAAAAAAAAGCCAATGGGATTTTGGCCTGCATCAATAGGGAAGTAATGCTACCCTTCTATTCCGCTTTGGTTAGACCACTCCTGGAATATTGTGTCCAATTCTGGGCACCACAATTGAAGAGAGATATTGACAAGCTGGAATGTGTCCAGAGGACGGCAACTAAAAGGATCAAGGGTCTGGAGAACAAGCCCTATGAGGAGCGGCTTAAGGAGCTGGGCATGTTTAGCCTGAAGAAGAGAAGGCTGAGAGGAGATATGATAGCCATGTATAAATATGTGAGAGGAAGCCACAGGGAGGAGGGAGCAAGCTTGTTTTCTGCTTCCCTGGCCCCTGGCTTCAAACTACAAGAAACCCGAAAGCCCCTGACTTCAGACTACAAGAGAGGAGATTCCATCTGAACATGAGGAAGAACTTCCTGACTGTGAGAGCCGTTCAGCAGTGGAACTCTCTGCCCCAGAGTGTGGTGGAGGCTCCTTCTTTGGAAGCTTTTAAACAGAGGCTGGATGGCCATCTGTCAGGGGTGATTTAAATGCAATATTCCTGCTTCTTGGCAGGGGGTTGGACTGGATGGCCCATGAGGTCTCTTCCAACTCTTTGATTCTATGATTCTATGTTTGATGAAACCTACTAGCCATATAATTGTAGGCTTTTAATTTCGTATGTGTGAGAGCGAATGTACATTCAAGTAGCTTGTGAGTTTATTCCAGCCTAGTGAATCTCATAGGTACTTTTTTGGTAAGGAATATTCAGAGGTGGTTCTGCCAATTTCTTCCTCTAAAATATAACCGAAAGCCCCTGGATTTTCTTCCTAATCTGTCATTCGAATACTAGCCAGGGCTAACTTAACTTCTAATACTAAATGAATTTTGTGCTTTTGGGTTATTTACCACTGAATGTATGTTAGTCCAACATACTGCAAATTGTCCTACCATACATGGTTTCTTTTATATTATGCATATTGTGCATTTAATTCACTATGTTTTGTCTTTAAGTCTGTGAGATGACTTTGGGCCAGGTTATGAGGCGTAAAAGAGAGTAGTCAGTGACTGGACAGTCTGTCATAAACTGGAACTCTTGTGCCCATTGCAAAGAATAACTTTTGTTAGTCATGTGCTACTAAATACAAGTTGTGTATCCCTTATCCAAAATGCTTAGGGTCAGAAATGTTTTGGATTTTTTTTAGTATTTTTGAAATCCTTGTTGTTGCATATATGTACACAATGGAGATAAGACCCAAGTCTAAACCAAGACTTCATTTACACCTTGCCCACATAGCCTGAAAACAATTTTATGCAATATCTTTAATTGAGGCATAAAACAAAGTTTGCATACATTGAAGTATGCAAATGTTCAGTGGTCTTCAGGAAGGTCTTCATAACCAGTAGCCCTCCGGGGGACAGCTCTGCTGGTATTGGAAATCTAATTTTGTCTCTGTAGAGTTCCGATAGAGCTCTGCCCCTTCAAGACTGTGTCCATAAAGTAAAATGTGCACAAAAGCGCGGTGTGAAAGCTTTTCCACATAGTCCGATCCATTATCCAAGGCTGCACAGTGACACTAGGTGGAGCAATAGTATTGGACAGAATGTCATGATCCTCCTTTATTGGCTAACAGTGTCATGTAGTCCAAGATTATAGAGGAAAAAGAGAACAAATTAGCTAACCAGAGAAGATAGGTGGGTAGTTTGAATTTCTACAGTGAATTTCTAAACATCTGGAGTTTAGGAGTCATCACTGCTTGTTTCATTGAAGAGGACAAAAGGGCCATCTTGACATTTTGACATACTTGACTTTAAAACCTGATTAAAATGAAATACATGCAAGCAAGTTTAACATTGAACAATTGATTTTTTTTTAAGTTCAGAAGTTAATCCAAAGTGAGATATTCACGTTGTTAACAGAAATTATTTGTTAATGTTGCCTTAAATTATTTTGCCTCCAAATATATTGCTGTAATGTTCCAGCTAAATTTATAAAAATGCATATCTTTATGTGTGTGTGTTTTTTAAAAAAATAACAATTTTGTGTTCTAGCTAAGACGTGAGAAAATTGATCTTGAAAATACACTAGAACAAGAACAGGAAGCACTAGTGAATCGTCTCTGGAAGAGAATGGATAAACTTGAAGCAGAAAAACGGTTTGTTTTGGTTTTCTTTTTGCCTGCAATTTTTCTTTAGTTTTCATATTGTTATTCTTATAGCAGATTTGTATCAGGAGATATGGTCTTTTAGATCACCTGGACCTAAACCACATAGGGCGGGGTCCTCAGACTTTTTAAGCAGAGGTCCAGTTCAAGGTCCGATCCCTCAGCCTATTGGGAAACGGAACTATAGTTTGAAAGAAAACACAAATGAATTCCTATGCATACTGTGCATACCTTGTTTGTAGTGCAAAACTTTGAAAGAACAATAATTTAAAATGAAGAACAATAAACTTACCAATTTTTCATCTTAATGTAGTTTAACTATTTGTTGTTCGAAGACATTGAATAGTTGCCATATGTAAAGCCACCTTGAGTCCCCTTCGGGGTAGAGAAAGGTGTTTGTAGTGCAAAACTTTGAAAGAACAATAAAATATTTAAAATGAAGAACAATTTTAACCAACATAAACTTACCAATTTTTCATCTTAATGTAGTTTAACTATTTGTTGTTCGAAGACATTGAATAGTTGCCATATGTAAGGCCACCTTGAGTCCCCTTCGGGGTAGAGAAAGGTGGGATACAAATAGAGTAAATAAATTTATAAAAAGTGTGGGCCTGCTTTTGTGTGATAAGATAGTCAAGTTTATTAGAATTGCTGTTGTTGTTGTGTGCCTTTAAGTCATTTCAGACTTAGGGTGATCCCAAGTAAAAAGTTTACAGTGGAAGACAGTTAAATGACCTTGGAGGRCTGCATCCTACCTGTGAGCTTTAGTTTGGAGGACCCCTGGCATCAGGCCTTATATCAGTGGTTCTYAACCTGTGGGTCCCCAGATGTTTTGGCCTTCCASTCCCAGAAATCCTACCAGCTGGTAAACTGGCTGRGATTTCAGGGAGTTGTAGGCCAAAACACCTGGGGACCCACAGGTTGAGAACCACTGCCTTATATGTTATGACTGTCACTTTAAATTGTGCCCAGAAACAAATCAGAAGCCAGTACAGCTACTTTAACAATATATGTTCCCTATAACTGGCCTTAGTATCCTGGCTGTAACATATGCGACCTGCAGTATGCCTTTTGATACCAGTTGTTGGGGAACTAGGAGACATGAGGAAGAAGAAGAACTTCTACCCCACCTCCCATCTCCCCGAAGGGACTCAGGCCGGCTTACATGGGTCCCAAGCCCAGGCAGAATACAATTAAAATAAAGCAATAACAATTAAAACAGCATAAAACAACATAACAAAAATAGCTAGCAACAACAACAGCAGACTAATTTTGGAGGGTGGGGGAGGAAAACCACTACGTGAACTAGTTAAAGGATAAGGTGGTTTAGTAAGGTAGATGACAATGTATAACGGCATAGGAAAAATCATGGAAACAGAGCAAATTAACAGGATCAGTTAATATAATATAGGACATCAGATTGAATGACAATTCAAGTCATGATTTGTCATAGGAGTCGTAAATCGAAAGCACGACAAAACATCCATGTCTTTAATTCCTTAAGGAATGTGGCTAGGGAAAATACATGGGATAAAATCTTAAAAATGGAAAAGAAAATAGTAACTACAATTTATAATAAATTGTTACAATGGTTAACGGAAGCGGAACAGGTCAAATCGTGTATGATTAAATAGGCAGAAAACTTAAGAAGGCCTATTCAATATAGAGAATGGGAACAAATGTGGAATAAAAAGTTGAAATATACTTATGCTATGGATTTAAAGGAAAACTGGTTTAAAATGTTCTATAGATGGTACATTACTCCTAAAAAATTAAGCCACATGTATAAAAATACGTCTGACAAATATTGGAAGTGTAGTGAGCAAACAGGTACATTCTACTATATGTGGTGGTCATGTAAAGAAACATCTAAATACTGGTCATTAATACATGAGGAAACACAAAAAATATTGAAAAGGAAGTTCAAGAAGAACCCAGAGTATTATTTACTAGGCTTCACAGACCTGGATTTACAACTTGAAGAAAATGAAGACAAATTACTAACATATATTACAACAGAAGCTAGGATTAGCTTTGCTAGACTTTGGAAAATAGATCAGACTCCCCATTATTGATGAATGGATAGATAAGGTCAAAGAAATAAGAGACATGGACGAATTAACTTTTTTGATGAGGAAAAATACCGGAAAATAGGTAAAAAGGACAGACTGAACCCTTTTTTATGACTATCAAAAAAAAAACCAAGAAAAATAGAGGCTAAGAATACATCAATTTGATGAAGAAGTACTTAAAGTAGATCCTGAGGCTGGAGTGGAAGTCATTTTAGAACTGTCTGTGTGTGCGTGGGGCTTTGGGGGGGGGTTGGCAATTTTTTGGACTTTTCCTATTTTTTTGGAACTTGTCTACTTTTTGGGGGTTTTTCCTCCCCCCCCCTCTTTTTTCTTCTCTCTCTTTTTTTTTGGTGGTCTCTGGGTTTCCTACTTTTCTATCCTCTTTGGAAATGTTCTCCCTCTTTCCTTGTGTCGATGTTTAAAATGTTTAATAAAAATCTATTTTAAAAAAAGGAATGTGGCTAGGGAGGGTGCCAGCCAAATCCCCCTGGGGAGGGAGTTCCAGAGACGGGGGGCCACCACCGAGAATGCCCTCTCTCTCGTCCCCACCAACCGTGCCTGAAACGGGAGCGGAAGCGAGAGAAGGGCATCCCCGGAAGATCTTAAGGACCGTGTGGGCTCGTAAGGGAGGAGGCAGTCACGCAGATAGGCAGGTACTGAACCGTTTAGAGCTTTATAGGTGATAACCTGCACCTTGCATTGGGACCGGAAACTTATCAGCAGCCAGTGGAGCTGTTTAAACAGGAGGGTTGACCGCTCTCTGTTCCTTGCTCCAGTTAACAATCTGGTTCTCCTCCCTCCCTGTTCTGTTTTTGAGCTTTCTAGAGGCATCTTCTTAGAGCAAGTGACAGAATGCTAGACTATAATCTGCAAAAATGCAGGTGCTCTTATCTCTTTAATCTGATGTGGTGATGCAAGGTGTTGCTGCAGACATAAGAAAACAGCAATACTAATGTGTTGCTCAGCTAAAGGCAAACAAATGGGGTTTATACCATGTCAGTGTAACTCACTGGGAGTCATCGTTATACTCTATGACAACCTTTGCCTTTAATGTTATGAAACTTGTTTCAAACACTGGAAAATTAATTTTCTTACAGCTCTCTTGACTTATCTTGATTTTCATAGGAACAGACATCTCACAGCATGTCTTGAATTCCCCAGAAGCAGAGAAATCTTTTGAAGTTCAATAAGAAAATGTATTTTGTAATATGGCAGTTGTTAATCTAGTTAATGAAAGATTCACTATGTGCATGATCTTTCTAGTCCCATGACCATAGATTGGATATTTCAAAACACATAAGAGATGAAAATTCTTTTGTTACAGTCTTGTTCAGCAGTAAAACAGATCTTGTGGTCTTGTGCTTCATTTAGCTCATAATGTGTTTTTAACACATAAATGTTGGGTCACTACAGTGAGCCCTCTGTATCCACGGATTCTGCATTTGTGTATTCAGCAATCCAAGGCTTGAAAATTTCAAATTATTCTGCATATTTGTGTGTTTGATATAACAAAACTTAGCTTGCTTAAAGCTAGCCCTTATTTCGCCCTTAACTGTGAGAATATATTGATTGATTGATTGATTGATTGATGGGAAAAAGATATTCAGAAGCTTTGTCCAATTAGGGTTATTGTCTAAGACAGGGGTCCTCAAACTTTTTAAACAGAGGGCCAGGTCACAGTCCCTCAAACTGTTGGAGGCAGGCCCGTAGTCAGGATTTCGTTTTGGGGGGGGGGGGCTAAAATTTTTTTCAGGGGGGGTTTCGGGGGGCTGAGTTTCGGGGGGGGGCTGAGTCTGAGTGAAAGAGGGTCTAGCCTAGCAAACCTTTTGTATCATTACCCCAATACCCCCATGCATATGGGATATATTGAGTATGGTGATCAGATCATGATATGAATAAACATAACAGTTTAAATAATGCATCAGTAAGGCCTTTTCGCGAACCACCATGAGAATTTCGGGGGGAGGGGGGGCTGAAGCCCCTCAAGCCCCCCCCCCCCCCCCTACAGTTCAAACTATTGGAGGGCCGGATTATAATTTGAAAAAACATGAATGAATTCCTATGCACACTGCACATAACTTATTTGTAGTTCAAAAAAACACTTAAAAACAATACAATAATTAAAATGAAGAACAATTTTAACAAATATAAATCTATTAGTATTTCAATGGGAAGTGTGGGCTTTTGGCTGATGAGATAGGATTGTTGTTGTTGGGTGCTTTCAAGTCATTTCAGACTTAGGTTGACCCTGAGTGAGGGCCGGGTAAATGACCTTGGAGGGCCGTATTTGGCCCCCGGGCCTTAGTTAGAGGACCCCTGGTCTAAGATATGCAAAAGCAACAAAGCACAAATAATTGCAAACTGAAGGATGAAAAGAAGATTTGATGTAGTGCTTCAAAGTCCAATTCCTCATTTTCCTACATTTATGCTAATATATTTGTAGTTCAATGAACAGTTTCTTGGAATTTCAGTATAATTTTTTATACTATAGCCATTAGATGTAAGAGTGACCCCATTCAAATGTAGTGGTAAACCAGGGGTCCCCAGACTATGGCCCGCGGGCCACTTCCAGCCCACCAAGGGCACTTATCCGGCCTGCGGAGGAGGAGCGCCCCCCCACACACACAGTGCCCCTCCCTTGGCTGGCTTACGCTGCCCATCGGGCCTGACGGATAGCGTGATCCAGTCAACGGCAGCTGCTTCGCGTGGCCTACTCGTGTGTAAAGCACCTCGCGAGGTACTTTACGCGCGAGTAGGCTGCGCGGGGCTGCTCCTCCCTTGGCAGGCTCACGCTGCCCATCGGGTTTGATGATGGGCAGTGTGAGCCAGCCAAGGGAGGCTGCCCCGGCGCTCCATGCAGTCATGCTGGCCACATGACCTTGGAGGTGTCTACGGACAATGCCTGCTCTTCGACTTAGATGAGCACCACACCCCAGAGTCAGACACGACTGGACTTCATGTCAGAGGAAAACCTTTAACTAGGAAATTGTGGAAGATCCAGGGTGGGAGAAAGAACTCTTGTCTGTTGGAGGTAGGTATGAATGTTTCAATTGGCCACCTTGATTACCATTTCATAGCCTGACAGTTTTTAGGGAGAATCCTTTGTTGAGATGTGATTAGCTGGCCCTGATTGTTTCTTGTCTGGAGTTCCCCTGTGTTTGAGTGTTGTTCTTTATTTACAGTTATAATTTTAGAGTTTTTTAAATACTCGTAGCCAGATTTTGTTCAGACTAGAAATAGGAAGATTTCCCATTCTCTGCTCCTGGAATTACTGCCTAAAGAGGACTAGAAAGAACCTCCTCTAAGGGCCCTTCCACACAGCAAAATAAGATATGTGCAATGTGCATAGGATTTTTTAAATTGTTTAAAAAAAAACAACTATAGTCCGGCCCTCCAACAGTCTGAGGGACAGTGAACTGGCCCCCAGTTTAAAAAGTTTGAGAACCATGTTTTTTTTTAATGTTTATGACTTTCACTTATGGTTTCCTATTCTCATTCACATGCATTTATTGATACTCTGGTTTGGGTGTAAGATGCACAAGCCAAATCTTCATTTTGGCTGATACATTTTGTCTCTGATCTGAACTGGACTTCCATGTTTTGTTTGTTTTAGAAATAGATTTATCAGAAAGAACATTTACAATTACAGATTGTCTTAAATCTTTCTTTCTTCGCATAATATTATGTCGAGTTCAAGCAAAATTGCACATTTATGACAGGTTGTTTCAGGGAGAAAATAATTTATTTTAATTTCAGAATTTTGCAGGAGAAATTAGACCAGCCTGTGTCAGCTCCTCCATCGCCAAGGGACATATCAATGGAGATAGACTCTCCAGAGAATATGATGCGGCATATCAGGTTCCTAAAGAATGAAGTCGAGAGGTTAAAGAAACAACTTAGAGCGGCACAATTACAGCGTAAGTCCAGATAATCTTGGCTATGTTCCCTTATGTATCTTGTAGAGGTATGTTTTAATGATATTTAAGTATTTCCTCCTGGAAGACTTCCAATAGACTAGAAGTTCAGATATTTAATTACAACTTTGTAGTGAGCATTAACATTTTGTGTTTTCCTTTGTGAGGGTTATTTTTTTCTTTATTGGACAAGTATACATGTCAAGTGATATTGCTAAAGACTACACCAGGTTCTGATAACTAGCATTGGATTGTTACATCATTCTTGATGCCAGAACTGAAAAGAACTTTGGCGCAGCAAGAGTAACCTAACGTACACACACACTATGTTTGCTTCTGATCAAGTAAATATGCTGTGGCAGAAAAATTATTTAAGATGCCTGGCTTATCAGATTTTTTGGCAATTCAAATAGAAAAATATTTTAAACTCAGCACGATGCTTGAAATTGCAATAATATATATTTTTGCATTTTCGACATCATATGACAGAATATGTTTTTTTTACTGAGCCTAATTGAATTCAGTTTAACATTCTTCTGGATCACATCCTCCAAGTGTCTTTCCCAAGTAGATGACTTCTAGAAGCATTAAAGTTGCTGAAAATACTTCAGCTATCAATAGAAATAAAAATGTAATGTTCGTTTGTGGGATAGCTCAAAAACCACTGGACGAATTGACACGAAATTTGGACACAATACACCTAACAGTCCCACAAGTGACCATCACACACACACACACAACCCAGCGGAACAAACTTAAAACCCTCAAAAATACACCATATATACATATACACATACACTCATCTATATAAATAAAAATGTAATATTCGTTTGTGGGATTAACAGAACTCAATAACCACTGGATGAATTGACACCAAATTTGGGCACATGACACCTAACAACCCAATGTATGCCCTTCACTAAAAAAAAATGATTTTGTCATTTGGGAGGTGTAGTTGCTGGGATTTATAGTTCACCTGCAATGAAAGAGCATTCTGAACCCCACCAAGAATGGAATTGAACCAAACTTGGCACACAGTTCTCCCATGACTAACAGAAAATACTGGAAGGGTTTGGTGGGCTAGTTATCAAAACCTGGTGTATAGTCTTTAGCAATATCACTCCTTTGGTTTTGGAGTTGTAGTTCATCTACATCCAGAGATCACTGTGGACTCAAACAATGATGGATCTGAACCAAACTCAACATGAAGACTCAATATGTCTAAATGTGAACACTGGTGGAGTTTGGGGAAAATAGAAATTTGACATTTGGGAGTTGTAGTTGCTGGGATGTATAGTTCACCTACAATCACAGAGCATTCTGAACCCTGCTGATAGAATTGGGCCAAACCTCCCACACACCTATGTGGGCCACAGCAACGCGTGGCAGGGGACGGCTAGTATACATATACAGAGGCACACATTCATACACACACATGTATATATATACACATATACACACATATATACATACACACAGATACACATATACACATGCACACATGCATGCACACACATATTTATACATATACACATGCACACACATATACATATCCACATACACACATATATATACACATACAAATATGCATATAGACAAGCACACACATATACACAATATGCATGTACACATATAAATACACAAATATATACACACATATATATACGCACACACTTATATACACATATACACACACATATGCAAACACACACACACACACACATAAACATATGTACACACACAAAACAGACTGGGCCACAGCAACATGTGGCAGGGGACAACTAGTACTTCATAAAAATGAAAATCACCCCTTTTTTCTGAATTAGTTATTTTTAGAGTTGGTTTTAATGAAATATTTTGGAAGATCAGTATGACAAATTTGTCATCTTACTTTCTAGGGAATTATGTTTTGCTGATCACAATTGTGTTTTTGGTAGGATAACAAGAGGGCTGAATTTGAAACCTTGTGGGCAGTTTTGGAAAATTAATAATATGTATCACTTAAAGGAGATAAAACATTAATCTCTGGGAACGTGCCAAATCTCTTCAATATATTGCTTTTACTTGCTGTACTCAGAAGTCTGAACAAGGTCTCTGGGTACTTACAATTGCTAGCCTGATTTATTAGCAGAAGGGTGAAACCTCGTTTTGCTGTACTTTAATTTCAGAATGTTCTGTTCTTGTCCTTGACAGACTCCATACTTGTGGGTAATTTATCATGTCATATTTTGTCATATGCTGTCATAATATGGTCAATCTCCACGGCTCGAAAAATTATGTGAATGCTTCAAAACTGTTTCCAAGATGGTCGGTGTAATTCCTTCTAACACGTTTTAGAAGGTCGATTCTTCATTGATACTTCTTACATGGGAATCTCTTCTCTGTAACCTCCCCTAACATCTCATGGAACCAAGATCAGAAAGATGGTTTCCTGAGCCAGTGCTGGCCCACTATTCAGGAGAGGCAACCTTGTTGAAGGCTTTCACAGCTGTAATCACTAGTGTGTTCTGTGGTTTCCGAGCTGTATGGCCATGTTCTAGTAGCATTTTCCCTGGACGTTTCACCTGCATCTATGGCTGGCATCTTCAGAGGTGAAACGTCAAGAGAAAATGCTGTTAGAACATGCCCATACAGCTCGGAAACCATGCAACACCCAGTGATTATGGGCATGAAAGCCTTTGACAAGGTTGCTTCTCCTGAACAATGGTCCAGCGCTGGGTCAGGAAACTATTTTTCTGATTTTGCTTCCATGCTATGAGGATCATGGTATCATTGACTTGTTTACTACAGACAAAAATATGCCAAGATAGTGGAAGATGTGGATTGTAGAAGCTCTCATTCTCAGTTGTCAAATTGGTATGGTGATCCTGTATTATTCCCCATCTCTGAGGCTAATCTACCAACATGAATGTATGAGTTCTGGTTATAATTGAAAAATGCTGAAAGAGCAGATTATTGAAAAGCATACTGTAGCAAGGGAGGGAGACTATTTCTTATTTTAAGAAAAACCTCTTTACTCTTATAATGATTCAATTTCTTCTTTTATATTGGCTGGGACTTTTTCTGTGTTGTTTAACCTTTGTACAGGCACTGAGACACACTTCTGTATAACAAAGTAACACAGTTTATTTATAACTTCTGGCTCCAACGCTTGTGGTTACATTTGTGTTTTGTTGCAATCTTGAGGCTTACAGTCAGTATAATATACTTGGTTTACTTTTCTGAAATAGACTTTCAATGTTTCACATTCACAAACATGTTACTTGCTTTACACACTCTTGACTGAAATTATATTCTGACTAAAGCACCACTGGCTTTCTTTATGTTCCTAAAACTTGAGCTCTATTTAACTAACTGCTTCTATATATCAGAAGTCTTTAACACATCTTCTTAACTGCTTATTTCTAACAGGAGTTCCAAACCCTTTTCTCTCACAGAAGTTCCAAACTGTCTCTCACAAACAGGAATCCCTCACTCTTCTCACAAACAGCAATTCCTAACTAACTCCTTTGACTCTCTAACTGCCTATTTTTAAACTTTGGCTCTGCCCCTTTGGAAAGTTTAGCTCTGCTCTTTCCAACTGTCATTTTGGCCTAGCAGCCTTTTCAAATCCTGGGCCTACGCTAATCTGCATATGACCAATCGGCTTCCATATGCAAATGAATCCTATCTCTGCTGTTGCTACCCTGTCTGTGCCTATTCTTCCCTATCTGCCATGTGTAAACATAGAGCTATACATCAAAAATTTAACATAGAGTAGCAATTTCGCTACACATACCATCAAAGAGTGAGGGGTGTTTCAGGTCTGTTTCAAATGATCATCCAACTTCCAATTCCTCCAGACATACTGAGGGAATAGTGCTTGCTTACAGGCATTGACAATTAAAACAAATGGGATAAAACGTTGGTCTAAGTAGCGATATGTTTAACTACCTCTGTACTTGTCACTTGATAAATGCACAATCTCAATTCTGCAATATTTCTCGATATTTGTAAAGAGTCTACAGAACATAAAGCTGAGTTAAGTAATCAAAAATAAATGTAAAAAATCTTGATGCTTCAGATTCAGAGAAGATGGCACAGTACTTAGAAGAAGAACGTCACATGAGAGAAGAAAATTTGAGGCTCCAAAGAAAACTGCAGAGGGAAATGGAGAGGAGGGAAGCCTTGTGCAGACAGCTCTCAGAAAGTGAATCCAGTTTGGAAATGGACGATGAGAGGTTTGTTTAGCTGGTAACCTCAGGTGATCTGTTCTGAAAACCAGGCTTCTCCATTGTAGATAGAAATAAGAAGCCACCACCGATAGCGGAAGTACCTTGTCAAGTTTACACCCTCCTTGCATCTTCCCTTATGTTCTATATTGTTTTACTGACCACTTCACTGGGGAGCAAGAGGTGGGGAGAGACACAATATAAAAGCACGGGCATGCAAGGTAAGTTAATCTACAGGCTGGGACAAGTGCCTTGCCACAGGGCTGCTGTCTTTAAGGAACAGATAAGTTACCTGATGAAACATGCTAAATTTGCTCATGAGTAATCACGTCAGAGAGGAAGGATTAACTTTATTTTTCATTTAAAGACTATAGGAGACATCATCTATATAAATAAAAATGTAATGTTCATTTGTGGGATTATCAGAAGTCAAAAACCACTGGGTGAATGGACGCCAAATTTGGACACAAGACACCTCTCAGGCCAACGAGGGACCATAACTAATAAAAACACTGAAAAGCACAACAGAAGGGACTTTAAAAGCCAAAACCCCAAAAAATATATTACAATGCATGTGCAAAACCACATATATATACGCAAAAACACATATATACACACATATGCATATACACACAAAAAACACACAGAAAGGAGGAAGGAAGAAGAGAAATAAAGTAGAGTAGAGAAGGGAGGAGGGAAGAAGGGAAAGAAAGAAGGAAGGAGAGAAAGAAGGAAAGAAAGAAAGGTAGAGAAGGAAGTAAGGAGAGAAAGAGGGAAGGAGAGGAGGAAGGAAAGAAAGATGGATAAAGGAGATAAAGTAGAGAAGGAAGGAAGGAGAGAAAGAGGTGGAGAAAGAGGGAAAGGAGGAGAGAAGGAAGGGAGGAGAGAAGGAGGGAAAGAATCAAATAAAGTGAAAGAGGGAAGGAAGGAGAGAAGGAACGAAAGTGAGAAAGAGGGAGGGAAGGAAGGAAGGAAAGAGAAGGAAGGATGGAACCAAAGAGCAAAGGAAGAAAAGAAACAGGTAGAGAAGGAAGAAAGAAGAAGGGAAAGAAAAAGAGGGAAGGAAGGAGAGAAAGAAAGAAAGGAGAAAAAGAGGGAGGGAAGGCTGGCCACAGCAACGCGTGGCGGATACAGCTAGTCTATATAAATAAAAATGTAATGTTTGTTTGTGGGATTAACAGAACTCAAAAGACACTGGACGAATTGACACCAAATTTGGACACAAGACACCTAACAACCCAATGTATGTCCTTCACTCAAAAAAATTGATTTTGTCATTTGGGAGTTGTAGTTGCTGGGATTTATAGTTCACCTACAATCAAAGAGCATTCTGAACTCCACCAATGATGGAATTGAACCAAACTTGGCACACAGTTCTCCCTTGACCAACAGAAAATACTGGAAGGGTTTGGTGGGCAGTGTCCTTTGGTTTTGGAGTTGTAGTTCACCTACATCCAGAGAGCACTGTGGACTCAAACAATGATGGATCTGGACCAAACTTGGTACACGAATACTCAATATGCCCAAATGTGAACACTGGTGGAGTTTGAGGGAAATAGAATCTTGACATTTGGGAATTGTAGTTGCATTCTGAACCCCACCAACAATTGAATTGGGCCAAACCTCCCACACAGAACCCCCATGTGGGCCACAACAATGCATGGCAGGGGACGGCTAGTCAGTAAATAAATTGCTTTGTTTTGTAACAGCAGAGTGGGAATAGCATTTCCACAGTGGTGTATGTTGTCTGTAGTTCTAGGGTCAGTGGTGCTACAGTTAGAAATAAGGGGGGAAATATATTTGATTAAATCGTCCCACTGTTTCAATCATTAGAAGTCTTCTTTAAAATAGTTCATGAATTTAACCTGATGTCACACTAACACGGGGATGGTTTTATTTTTGGTCTCCAGGCCAGGCAGTTTAAATAACTTTAACACAAAATGATTACTAGGACGTTTCCATCACATCTTTGATCCTCCAAAACATTTTTTTAAATCTCAGACTAATCTAAAATACCTTTTGGGGGCAGGGAAGGGCATTCCAGGTTGAAAAATGTATGGAGTTTTTTTTGGGGGGGGGGTGCAGCAAATACATGAGGGTGTGTGAAGACCTCCAGTGTTTCTTGGGGAAATAATACTTTTCAGAGTTGCCCACCTTTTCTCTAGCATCTTATGTAACAACGGAAATGATATCGGATTGTGGGTTTGACGATGAGACGACTTGGAATGGCTTTTGTAGTAATGTTGATGTTTTGATGAGATGTTTTTCGATAATGATGAATTGTGGATTATTTTACACTATGGTTTGTATTTTGCACCTGTTTTTCTATGTTGTACACCGCAATGAGTCGCCCTTGGGCTGAGAATTGCGGTATATAAGCGAAGTAAATAAATTTATTTTGTTTTACTGTCTGTTATCAGATAGGTGGCAGAGGAAAATAAGATAAAAGGAACAGTTGTGGAAGGATAATATTCTGTGCTTATCTCTTACATTAGATATTTTAATGAGATGTCCGCACAAGGATTAAGACCTCGCACTGTGTCCAGTCCAATTCCATATACACCTTCACCAAGTTCTAGCAGACCTATATCACCTGGTAAATATGTTTTCTACTTTTGTGTACTTGATGTTAGTTTTTTGCATAAATTTAATAATACGCATATATGTAATGATAGAAATGTAAAATATTTGTTTTTAAAATAACTATGATTTAATCAAAAATATGTTTTGAATCTGTATTTTATTATGATTAATATTTAGTGCCATTTTTGGTAAAACTCATTTAGATTTGATAAATAATATACTGATACCTGTGCCCTTTTGATATGTAATCTTTATACAAAAACAGCAAATGTGCATTTCAAATATTGAGTTTTATTATCTAAGAACTAGAATGGATTGTTATATATTACAATAATGACATGCAGTGTGCCACTAAATGGAACTGAAGCATTTTTTAATGCAGGGAATTAAAAGAATTCACCCTTTCTTTAAAACAAAAACCCTAAATAATTAGATTAATTTCATTCCCTAGTTTAAATCTTTTGCTGTTATCGTCCAATTATTTTACTGACTTGGGAGTGTTGTTTTAGGAGTAATCATTCATAAAAACGAGTAACTTTGAATGCAGGTTCAGTAGTGAGAGGTCCTTCTTCAGAGATCCTGTTGGCAAACACAGATGCTCCCAGTTCTGCAGGTTTAGGTAGGTCCATATTGTTTCCCCAGCTACTCACCCCATGTCTTGAATGAAAAACTAAGAAATGACAGCGACTAAATAGTATCACATGCCTTTGTCAAGACCACTAAACACTGTCATTGTGTTCAAGTGCAGTTTATTTACCCAGTATGGAAGATAATGCCTGTTGTTTTCTTCTTTGTAACATGTTTGGAGTTTTTCGGTTCATCAAGATCCATAAGCATATCTTGCCTTGCTTTTTCCCATCATTCTAGGTCTCTCATATGCAAGTCACACAGTTGGTTTTACTCCCCCAACTTCACTCACCAGAGCCGGCGTGTCTTATTATAACTCCCCAGGCCTTCATGTGCAGCATATGGGACCATCCCATGGTATTACAGTGAGTATTTTGAAGAGTAAACATCACAGTCTCTTAAAGTGCTTGCCTTTCTTTGTTGCTTTAAGGGTTTCTTCAAACTGAAAGGCAATTTCTCCATTATTTCCCTTTTTACACTAAATCTATATAAATAAAAATGTAATGTTTGTTTGTGGGATTAACGGAACTCAAAAGCCAGTGGGCCAATGGACACCAAATTTGGACAGCATACACCTAACAACCCAATGTATGTCCTTCACTCAATTTTTTTTTTATTTTGTCATTTGGGAGTTGTAGTAGCTGGGATTTATAGTTCACCTACAATCAAAGAGCATTCTGAACTCCACCAATGATGGCATTGAACCAAACGTGGCACACAGGACTCCCATGACCAACAGAAAACATCAGAAGGGTTTGGTGGGCATTGACCTTGAGTTTAGGAGTTGTAGTTCAGCTAGATCCAGAGAGCACTGTGGACTCAAACAATGATGGATCTGGACCAAACTTTTTATTATTAATTATTATTAAACTTTATTTGTACCCCGCTAGCATCTCCCAAAGGACTCGATGTGGCTTACAAAGGCCAAGGCCTCAACAACACAATAGCATAACAATACAATTCAAAGCAAATAAAAAACGTTAAAGCAATAACAGTAAAAACAACAAAACAATACAGCACAACACAATAAAAACAGGGCCGGGCCAAGTAATGGGTACAGATTAAAAAGTGCTGGATGTGACAGGTGGTCTGTCGGATTTCAAGGAAGTGCGGTGTGCAGAGAATCTTAAAGTTCTGATAAAGTGCTTCTGGGACTCTAATAAAGTGCTTACTGGAGTTTTCCTATTCTGGAAAGGCACATCGGAACAGCCAGGTCTTCAAATTTTTCCTAAAGACTGCCAGTGTGGGGGCCTGTCTAATGTCTTTGGGGAGGGTGTTCCAAAGTTGGGGGGCCACCACAGAGAAGGCCCTGTCCCTTGTCCCCACCAAACGCGCCTGCGATGCAGGTGGGATCGCGAGCAGGGCCTTGGCGCAAATATTCCATATGCCCAAATATGAACACAGTTGGAGATTGGGGGATATAGACCTTGACATTTGGGATTTGTAGTCACTGGGATTTATAGTTCACCCACAATCAAAGAGCATTCTGAATCCCACAAACGACAGAATTGGGGCAAATTTCCTACACAGAACCCCCATAACCAACAGAAAATATTTAAGGCCATCCAGTCCAACTCTCTTCACCAGGGCAGGAAAATGTAATCAGAGCCCTCCTGACAAAGAGCCATCCAGCCATAGATATAGATAGATACATATGATTCACACTCACACTAACATAGTATCATAGATTTGAAAGGACCCCTAAAGAAGGACTATGATTTGTTGCATATTCCAGAGTAGGCAAACCAGACACTCTCCACATCAACACTGACAAAGAAACAACAAGAAATACTGTTTACCCGCAAGCATTAAGACATTACATATAATACTGTTTACCCACAAGCATAAAGACATTACATATATTAGATCACCAGATTGGGCCACAGCAACGTGTGGCAGGGGACGGCTAGTAAATAATATTTTATTCCAAAATCTAGAAGAGTATTGCCTTTAAAACCTGTGTTCTCTAATAGGGACGTGGAACACATGTTCCCATGAGGACTGCCTATCTCAGCAGAGCAAATTCCATCTGTTAATATTTTATCTAATTGTCTAATCAGCTCATTAATGATTTTCCCCTTTAAAAAAAAGCTTGGAGAGGCTTTGAAAGCACAAAAAAAAAATGCAAACCCACAATATCAAAATAGTCTTAACAAGCACAACATATAACCAGGGATCATTTTGTGATGTTCAAAGACTCAGATAAAGTTGGCCAAATTTAAAAGCTTAGCTATTTGCTCAGTGACTGATGTGTGAAAGTCTTGGAGAAAAATTGCCAGAGACAGACAGGAGAATAACTCAGAAGGAGGTAGGTATCTGGTTATATTAGATCTTTCCGTCTTTTGATAATAACAATATCAAAAGATAAATGCAGTTCTCTACTGTGAGGTTTAGAGTTTATTGTTCTGTGGGATTTTATTGTATCTTCCATCTAGTACAAGGGTCCACAAACGTTTTAAACAGAGGTCCAGGTCACAGTCCCTCAAACTGTTGGAGGGCTGGATTATAATTTGAAAAAAACATGAATGAATTCCTATGCACACTGCACATAGCTTATTTGTAGTGCAAAAAAATACAATAATTAAAATGAAGAACAATTTTAATAAATATAAGCTTATTATTATTTCATTGGGAAGTGTGGGCCTGCTTTTGGCTGATGAGATAGGATTGTTGTTGTGTGCTTTCAAGTTGTTTCAGATTTAAGTTGACCCTGAGCGAGGGCCGGGTAAATGACCTTGGAGGGCCGTATCCGGCCCCCGGGCCTTAGTTTGAGGACCCCTGATCTAGTACATTAGAAGAACTTTAAACCTTGCTAAAATCCTTCCTGTTATTAGGAATAGTGAGCCATCCTAAATAAGGCAGTCCATCTTTTACATGGCAGGCATAATAAACCAGGAACTGAAGGACAAAGTCATCAATACATTTGGGAAAACAAATATTAGTTCTAAAAAAACGAATTTCTCCAAGAATGAGAAAGCCATTGGTGCCCCATAAAGGGTTTGAGAAGTAATTTTGACTTTAACAGTGGGAGAAATTTCCCATTCTTTGTATGTGTTTATAAAGGTTCTAATTGCTCCCATACTTTCTGTTTTAGATTTGATATGCTATTGTTGTCGTGTCCAATTTATTTGTATATATAAAAGTCAAAGTATGTTTGTATGTTGGTTTGTGTCAGAAAGGCACCAATATGGATTGATTGTTCTGCACCAAACTTGACGTGTATATCCTTTGTTTTCCCATTTGAAACAATTGAGGGTTTTGAGATAGGTAGGTAGATAGATGGATGGATGGATGGATGGATGGATGGATGGATGGATGGATGGATGGATAGATAGATAGATAGATAGATAGATAGATAGATAGATAGATAGATAGATAGATAGATAGATAGATAGATAGATAGATAGATATTAGGCCTGGGCAATGCATGGTTCTAAATGGTTCTAAAGTGCTTACAAAACTAAAGTTCTGGTGGTGAAAATTTCAAAACTCTAACAAAACTCTCAAAATTTCATTATAATTCAAAACTCTAACAAAACTCTCAAAATTTCAATATAAATTTCATTAGGCAGCTCCTAATTGGTTCTGTCATAAAAATCGCCAATAATGAAATAATAATTAAATTTTGAAAGTTTTGTTAGAGTTCTGAAATTTTCACCACCAGAACTTTAGTTTTGTAAGTACTTTAGAACCATTTATAACTATGGATTGCCCAGACCTTTACACACACACACACCAGCTCTTTTGGCCCAGAACAGAGGAAAAGAAAAGGAAGAAAGTGGATTGACTGTAGCTAGATGAAGTGGCCTTCTGTTGTGTGAATGGAAAATAAAGGGAGTGAAGCAAATTAGTCATTATTAGGTGACATGTATATAAAGGGGAGGGAGGCAGGGAGGAAGAGGAAAAGAAGGAAAAGAAAGGAACTGAGGAAATAGAGAAGAGAAGATAGGAAAGGAAGAGAAAGAAGATAAGAGAAAGGAAAGTAAGAAAGAGTGGATGAAGGAAGGGGGAAGGAAGAAAAAGAAGGGAAGTTAAAGGAAAGAAAGAAAGAGGAGGAGAGGATTATGAAGAAAAGCAAAGGAAGAAGAAAAGGAAGGAAGAAAAGGAGAGAGGGAGAAAAGAGTACAAGGGAAATGGAAGAAGAAAAGGAGAGCCACAAAGAGAACCTGGTTGTTGCCAGAGTATCACCATGGAGCCTTTGTGATATAGGTCTACTCAGAGCTGGAGAAAGAAGAAAGAAGTCAGCAGCAGGCCCCTCAACAATGGGATAATGCTGAGTATATAGGCTAGTGGGTTCATCAAAGCAGATACTCAATACAGTTAACAGGAAATGTACAATGCCTGCACTCTCACAGTAGCATACAAAATGGACATACGATCCAGTGCGGTACAATGAAACATTAGCAAAGCTTGATTGGGGTCTCCTATCATGTCTCTTTCCTCCTGTATTGATTGTCCTTGTCGGAAATTACCATATATACTCAAGTATAAGCCGACCCAAATATAAGCCGAGGCACCAAATTTTACCAGAAGAAACTGGGAAAACGTATTGACTCGAGTATAAGCTGAGGGTAGGAAATGCAGCAGCTACTGGTAAATTTCAAAATAAAAATAGATACAATACAATTACATTAATTGAGGGATCAGTAGGTTAAATGTTTTGAATATTTACATAAAACTATAATTTAAGATAAGACTGTAGAACTCTGATTAAACCATTATTCTAACCTTCTTCAATGTAAATGTGCTTGCATGTCTTTCCAGTAAAAATAGAGTAAAATAATAAATGTAATACTACTACTAATAATAATAGAGTAAAATAATGAAAATGTAATAAATAATAACCGTAATAAAAGAGTAAAATAATAAATACGAGGGTTATTTTTTAAGTAAGGTCCATTTGAACATAAGTACGTAACGAAAGTTTATTTCAAAAAAGTAAATTTATTTTCAGAAAGTATACACTTCACTCTATTTTTTGACATAGTTGCCAAGTTTGTTCAAACACTTATCATACCTCTGAACCAATTTTAAAATACCCTCTTCATAAAAACTTGCTGCCACCAAAAGCCACCAAATCGTCTGTAATCAAAGAAGGGCAACCGGAGCAGTCCTCATCATGGACGTTGTCACGGCCATCTTTGAATTGTCGTACCCACTTATGCACTTTGCTTTCACTCATAACAGTATCACCGTACACTTCACAAATCTGTCGATGAATTTCTGCAGCAGGCAGGCTCCTTGCTGACAAAAACCGTATCACTGAGCGAATCTCACATGCGGCGGGTGAGTTGATAGTCTTAAACATTTTTAAAGCACAACACAGAACCGTACAGTTTAGCTACAGAGCAGAAACTGAGCACAGTTGTTCCCGAGACATGCCGGTACACGACGCACGTGCTCGTTGTGGTATGCGCACGAACTACTAGTGTCTACAACAAAACGGACCTTACTTAAAAAATACCCCTCGTATAATAAAAACAATAATAAAGTAGAATGATCGATGTATCAACAACAACAACGACAACACATTTATTATGTATTTCTAACAGGGTAAAATAATAAATAACCTTGACTTGAATATAAGCCGAGCTGGACCTTTTCAGCCTAAAAAAAGGGCTGAAAAACTAGGCTTATACTCGAGTATATACAGTAGAAGCTGATGTGTGAAAGGTGTTGGAAGGAAAGAAGCACAGAAGTGGAGGGGTGGGTGGGTTCTGTTTTGCAACCTACCTCAACCCTGGTTTCCATGTTTTGTCCCACAGCGGCCTTCGCCCCGAAGAAGCAACAGCCCTGACAAATTCAAACGCCCCACTCCTCCGCCTTCTCCAAACACGCAGACCCCCCTGCAGCCGGCTCCGCTGCCTCCGCCGCCACCAGTGCAGCCTCCGGGCCAGTCGCCGGCCTCCCAGTCAGCCACTTTCCCACATTCGGTGCATCCTTCCTCTCAGCCTTAGTGCATGTGCTCAACAAACCTGTATTCAGAGTTGGACTCATAACACAGAGCAGTTTACTACAAGCCAAAGGCTTACAATGGTATATTTGGATTTGACTTATTTGCACTGAAGTTACTGAGGCTTCACTGTTTAATTGTGTTGTATAAGTTTGTCCAAGGGCCGCCTCCATTGTTGGCACAGGTTTCCGACATGGAAAGCACTTCCATCAAGGGGTAAGGAAACCTATGAAACCTGTGTGTAGATAAACACCCGAGGACATAATGGTTTCCCTGGCTTTTTAAAAAAACATGGAAGTGTTTTCTGTGATGAGACGACGTGTGCTCTATTTGCAGTTGTTGCAAAATGCAGTCAGTGTTGTGGAGCTACAACACTAATTTTGAAAACAAATTTCCATCAGTGTTTTGGTTGAATTTACATGTCTGTCCATTCTCCGGCTGGAACTTTGGCTAGTTTTGTTTGGTATTATGGCATTATGTTTTGCTGAGCTCCCAAAGCTTTATCATTTTTCCCCGTTCCCTCTTCAAGCCCCAGCTTCTAGGTTTGTAAAATAAAAGGGACAGCTTTTGTTATTATTTTTTCATAACAATTTGCATATAAAATTACAGGAGTGGTCTGTATATTATGGACTCCTAGATATTACAGTATGTTCCAAACATAAACATAATTCAGCACTACATTTCAGTAATGAACAAAGATAACTGCTATTAGTTCAGAGTGAAAGTCGGACACTTTAATGCCCAAACTCACTGTAAAAAAACCCCCAGTATCCTTTAATTTTCAGGTAACAGCAGTAAAACATACATGACACAACCGTACCTTTTCTTGAGTGTGTGGTACAGTCTAATGTACAATGTGGGAAGCCTGACTTGTCAAAGTATATAGAATGTATTGATCCATGGACCTTAAGAGTTGATTGTTTCATTTCTTCTTCACGTTGACCTGTAAAACTGTCCGTACTGTTGTTTTCATCACAATGATCTTCTGTAAGTGTGGTTCTGCCAGCAAGATCCTTGTGGCTGAATAAAGTGTGCGCTCTTGATTTTCTGCTGTAGAAAAGCAATTTGTATTTTTAAAAAGGCTGATTTTTCCCACTTGTTTAAAATATATTAAATGTGTGATTCCCTCTCCTGAAAGTCTCAACAAATATTTTAAGCAGTCAAAGAAAAATCAGAAGAGAGTATGATTGAAAGTGCACATTATAGCAGCATATTGGTATACAAGCCGAAAATGTTGTATCGCTTCGTAGAGAAGGAACAGATTTACAGAGAAAGTTAGATGACAATAGCAATTGCGTATTTAGCAGCATAAGCCGGTACAATGTATAAAGAAATGTATTCTGAAATACATTCTTTCCATTCATTTAGCACAAATAAATTGTTTGGTTTCACTTTGCAGTGGAACGAAGTCTCATTCTTCTTTCTTTGTGTGGTTTATCGCATTCAGCTATTTTTGCTTGATTAACTTGAACGTGAAAATGATGATTCACTTCCCCTATTCATTTTTGGTTTTCAGGACTGTAACTCCAAAGGATCATTGCGTTTACAAAAGTTTTTGCAACATACCCTAACTACATGTAGCACATTTTCTCAGGAAAGATTGCAATAGTGGATTTTGCTTCTTCTTTTCTTTTTCGACTTGCTTGCATAATTGGAATTTTTTACCATATAATACCAATGGTTATTAGAATCATAGAATCCTAGAGTTGGAAGAGACCTCATGGGCCATCCAGCCCAACCCCTTGCCAAGAAGCAGGAATATTGGGTTGTTGTAGGTTATTTCGGGCTATATGGCCATGGTCTAGAGCAGGGGTCCTCAAACTAAGGCCTGGGGGCCGGATGCGGCCCTCCAAGGTGATTTACTCAGGGTCAACCTAAGTCTGTAACGACTCAAAAGCACACAACAACAACAACAACAACAACAATCCTATCTCATCAGCCAAAAGCAGGCCCACACTTCCCATTGAAATACTAATAAGTTTATATTTGTTAAAATTGTTCTTCATTTTAATTATTGTATTGTTTTTAAGTGTTTTTGCACTACAAATAAGATATGTGCAGTGTGCATAGGAATTCATTCATGTTTTTTTCAAATTATAATCTGGCCCTCCAACAGTTTGAGGGACTGTGACCTGGCCCTCTGTTTAAAAAGTTTGAGGACCCCTGGTCTAACAAATAAACGAATATTGCTTTCAAAGCACCCCTGACAGATGGCCATCCAGCCTCTGTTTAAAAGCTTCCAAAGAAGGAGCCTCCACCACACTCCGGGGCAGAGAGTTCCACTGCTGAACGGCTCTCACAGTCAGGAAGTTCTTCCTCATGTTCAGATGGAATCTCCTTTCTTGTAGTTTGAAGCCATTGTTCCGCGTTCCTAGTCTCCAGGGAAGCAGAAAACAAGCTTGCTCCCTCCTCCCTGTGGCTTCCTCTCACATATTTATAAATGGTTATCATATCTCCTCTCAGCCTTCTCTTCTTCAGGCTAAACATGCCCAGCTCCTTAAGCCGCTCCTCATAGGGCTTGTTCTCCAGACCCTTGATAATTTTAGTCACCCTCCTCTGGACACATTCCAGCTTGTCAATATCTCTCTTGAATTGTGGTGCCCAGAATTGGACACAATATTCCAGGTATGGACGAATTAAGGCAAAATAGAAGGGTAGCATTACTTCCCTGGATCTGGACACTATGCTCCTATTGATGCAGGCCAAAATCCCATTGGCTTTTTTTGTCGCCATATGACATTGTTGGCTCATGTTTAACTTGCTGTCCACGAGGACTCCAAGATCTTTTTCCCACGTACTGCTCTCGAGCCAGGCATTGTCCCCCATTCTGTATCTTTGCATTTCGTTTTTCCTGCCAAAGTGGAGTATCTTGCATTTGTCACTGTTGAACTTCATTTTGTTAGTTTTGGCCCATCTCTCTAATCTGTCAACAAAATGAAGTTCAACAGTGACAAATGCAAGATACTCCACTTAGGCAGAAAATATAAAATGCAAAGATACAAAATGGGGGACACCTGGCCCGAGAGCAGTGCATGTGAAAAAGATCTTGGAGTCCTTGTGGACAGCAAGTTAAACATGAGCCACCATATTATAGGAATGCAGAGTGGAAAATCGTAACGGACAACAAGAACAGTTCAGCCTACTGTAAATACAGTAGAGTCTCACTTATCCAACATAAATGGGGTGGCAGAATGTTGGATAAGTGAAAACGTTGCATAATAAGGAATGATTAAGGAAAAACCTATTAATTGTCAAATTGTGTTATGATTTTACAAATTAAGCACCAAAACATCATGTTTTACAACAAATAGACAGAAAAAGCAGCTCAATACACAGTAATGCTATGTAATGCTATGTAGCAATTACGGTATAGCACCAAAACATAGCAATGTATTGAAAACACTACTGATGACAAGCTCTGGTTTAGGGTCAGGATGACACCCTTGGCTTTTGGTGGAAAGGATTAATAGAGTTGGGTGTCATCTGCATAACTATGAGATCGAACTCCAAAACTCTGAATGATCTCACTCAGCGTTTTCATGTAGATATTGAACAACATGGGGGACAAGATAGAACCCTGTGGGACCTCACAGGCTACAGGCTAGGGGGTCGAACAGGAGTCCCCCAGCACCGTCTTCTGAGTCTGGTCCCCTAGGAAGGAATGGAGCCACTGTAAAATTATTATTATTATTATTATTATTATTATTATTATTATCTTTATTTGTACCCTGCTAACATCTCCCGAAGGACTCGGTGCAGCTTACAAAGGCCAAGGCCCTCAATAAAACAACAGCAAACAAATACAAACAATAAAACTCATAAAGCAAACCAAAAATCATTAATGCAGTAACAGTAAACAATAAAACAATTACATCATAACACATTAAAACTAGGGCTGGACCAAATATAATGGATAAAGTTAAAAGTGCTGGGCATGACAGGTGAAATGTAAAGATTTTAGGGTAGGTGCGATGTGCAGACAATCTTAATTCTCTAGTAAAGTGGTTTGGGACATGATGCTGGGAGTTTCCTATTCTGGAAAGGCACACTGGAACAGCCAGGTCTTCAAGCTCTTCCTAAAGACTGCCAACGTTGGCTTGTCTGATGTCCTTGGGGAGAGAGTTCCAGAGTCGGGGGGCTACCACAGAGAAGGCCCTGTCCCTTGTCCCCACCAAACGCGCTTGCGACGCAGGTGGAATCGTGAGCAGGGCCTCTCCAGATGAACGGAGGGATCGTGTGGGTTCATATACGGAGATGCGGTCACGCAGGTAGGCGGGCCCAAACTGTTTAGGGCTTTGTAGGTGAGCACCTGCACCTTGAATTGGGACCGGAAAATGAACGGCAGCCAATGGAGCTCCTTAAACAGGAGGGTTGACTTCTCTCTGTAAGGAGCACCAGTTAACAACCTGGCCGCCGCCCGTTGGACCAGTTGAAATTTCCGAGCCGTTTTCAAGGGCAGCCCCACGTAGAGTGCATTACAGTAATCCAATCTAGAGGTGACCAAGGCATGGACCACTCCGGCCAAATCAACCTTTGTGAGGTACGGTCGCAGCTGGTGCACAAGTCTTAGTTGTGCAAAAGCCCTCCCGGACACCGCTGACACCTGAGCCTCAAGCGTAAGTGATGAATCCAGGAGAACTCCCTAACTGCGGACCTGTGACTCCAGGTAACAGCACAGGTTGCCACCCTATACCCTGATCCGTTTTACGATTGACCAGGAGATCCTCTGTCTTGTCGGGATTGATCTTCAGCTTGTTCTTCCTCATCCAGATAGCCACAGCGGCCAGGCACTCCAGGGGCCTCCTTGGAATTAGATGGAAATGAGTAGTAGAGTTGTGTGTCACCTGCGTAGAGATGGCACCTAACTCCAAAACTCTGGATGACCTCTCCCAGCGGTTTCATGTAGATGTTAAAGAAGCATGGGAGACAGAATAGAGCCTTGTGGGACCCCACAGGTCAAAAGCCAGGGGTCCAAGCAGGCGTCTCCCAGTTTCACCATCTGGGATCGACCCTCCAGGAAGGACCGAAGCCACGACAGAACCGTGCCCCCGAGACCCATCCCAGAGAGTCGTCCCAGAAGGATACCATGATCGATGGTATCGAAAGCCGCTGAGATGTCCAAGAGAACCAACAGTCACACTCCCCCTGTCCAACTCTACGGAGGT